AGCTGTTTTTGGTTTTGCTTCGTGCTCAGCAGACTATGGGCAATTTGCACACACTTTCTAATCTTAAAAATAGTTTATCCACACTATGCATCTTATGTCCTATGAATTCCGTATACAGATTGTAAATATCTACATAAAGCCTCATACAGGTTTATCGTTCTGCCTATAGATTCATGGCTGAAGATAAATCATACCAGTAGAAAAGCTTGGGGACAGGCATATAATTCCTGCTTATCAGATTTTGTAAGATTTAATAGAAAGGTTTCTACCTATATTTTAGATAACCAGATTACAGTGGGATTTCAAAACTAATTTCCCTTTCTTGGGCAGTTTTATGTTGTGTTTTGGGAATAATCACACAAATTGAACACTGCAAATGAAAATCCTGGGTTTATTGAGGTCACCAGGGCAACTCCTACGGATTTCAATTGGGCCAGGGCCTCGCTTTATGGGGAAGTCTTGGGGAGAAAATAAATTCAGACTTCTGGAAATGGAGCAGCATGCCAAAAAGCCTTTTATTAATTTTATTTTGAACATGGTCATACTGCCTGTGAGAAAGCAACTCCTTTCATTGCCTTCAGTAAATCAGCAGGTATTCCTGCTCCCACTGATTGCTTACAAGCATGGTAGAATAGGCTGGCTTAAAAGCCACTGCTTTTCATAGTGGCCAAATTCTGCTGATGAGTTGAAGTCCCTGTCTCACCCCTGTGCCAGGATCTCAGCTTCCACTGAGTGCTGAGCTAGGAAGGTCCAAGAAGACCTTCCTGTTTACAGCAGTCCCAGTCCACCTCTTTAAGGAGGTACAGGCTTGTCCTGGCCTGCAGGAAAATAGCCTTGCCTATCAGAGGCCAAGAAATCTTGGGTTCCTACTCCTGAGAGCGAAGCACTTGCAAGGAACCTGTTTTAGATGGGGCCTTGCCTTCGTAACAGACAGTGGCTGTCGGTTCCTCAGGAGTTTCCAACCAAGTGGGAACAGAGAGTCCTTCTCCACCAAGCAGGATTCTACTTGCGAGACAAACAACTGAATTCAGCTCTTGGAGTCTTCCTCCTCTCAAACCCAGGAACATCCTATCACTTTTTTCCTTCCAACTCCTTTTTTTCTGGTGTGAATACACACACGCTTCTCTGCATCGCTAAACACAGTGCAAGAGACTGACACAGCTCTACCCAACATCAATTTCCAAAGCAAGTGCCCCAGCACTTCTGCCAGATTTCAGCCAGAAAGAGAGGAGAACGTCCCTTGGGATGAGACAGGCCATCCTTTATTCATCTTGTTCTTATTTGTTTATCAGAGAAACTGAGGCTGCTAGCAGCACCAATCTCCTCCAACATACCTAGCTAGACTGCTGTTGACTACATAGTCCTTCCTACACCAAATCACACCGGTATCTACCATGCATTTTAGAGCTACTAACATTAGTACAGAACAAGGCATAGGACAGTTCCTGTTTGAAGTCAGTTCCAAACTAATGAGAAGCACTAGACACATAAGAGAATTTGGATCAAGAATGTAGCAGTGTGGTATCAAGTATACCAGTAAGAATTCTAGAAAAACAACTTACCAAAAGTGACAAGTTTGATGCCTGTAAATATCTTTAATCAGAATTTTGGATGAAGTCTGAAAGTACTGTTTTTACTGGAGAAGACAATTAAATTTCCATGTCTCTATCACACTGTGGAGTATTATCATTAATTAGTAATATCTGAAAAGTCTTGGAGATAGACATCATGAAAGCGGGGCTTCAGCTTCACTGACCATAGAAGTGTTTAAAATGAAGTTTCAAATCTCCTGGAAGAAAATTGTTAAGTAAGAAACCATTCAGAATTCCAAATAATATTACATAATTAACTTTTCAGCTGAGAACAGCCTCTTGGCACTAACCATGTCCTTTATTCTGATATATCAGGCACTGAAAACCATGGCCTTTCCTGTGCCAACTGCCTTTTAGAATAAACACGAGACCCTCCCCCTTCATCTCCACATACTTAATAATGTTAATAGAACATTAAAATATTAATGCTAGTAGACAAGGTCTTTCATAAAGCACATAAATGAATTCATTCACTCTAGCTCATTAGCTTAATCATCAACCTTTTTACAATGTAACTGATTAACATTTTCATTGTTCTTGCTTTTTCTTTTACTTCTTTGGGGATCAAAAGATCTCTGAATACATAAGCTCAACAAATATCTGTGCACAACTGTACAACAATAGAAATCGCTAAAAGTGATAACTAAGTAAAGGCTTTTACAGCTCATGCTTCAAAGATACTGCAGAAAACAACCATTTAAGAACCATTTTTATTTGTATGATTAAACGCAATTATACACATTCATGAGTCCAACAAGATCTGCACTGTGACATTAAAGATACAGTACAATAACATTCAACATGAGGTACTTCATATTTATATATATCTGTCCTTTATAAATAATGCTGTAAGCCTGCTAAGGTCAAACACTGCTCCAGCACAAATGGGTGCTGGGACCTGAAGTTAGCGGAGTTTATCACAACAAATTAAAAAAAAACCCCAAACCCAAAACCCCCAAACAGTTCAGTGCAAGAAATATGTAGAAATTAAAATGTTTACTTAAATACTATTTTAGATATGCAGAAAGTATATTACATTATACTCTCTTGTCATGGATACCCCTCACCAGGAAAATCAAACATACAAGTAGCAAAGATGGCCAGGTACATTTTAAGACAGAATCTACAGAAGGATCTCTACTGACATTATGCTTATATTCCAGGTTGATGTGGCTGATGCTTGCAAAATGTCAATCGCTGTATTCAAGCTTGAATGCTACTGCTAAAACAACCAAATCCACATTTAGACACCTATTTACGTGCCCTGATGTCCTAAGGTGACTGGTACTAGCCGCCTTCTTATATACCAGGACTTGTTAGCATCAAGTAGTGCTCAGAATCTAGTTGCACTGTAAGTGTCAAAAGGTATTTTGGGGTCCTTATGTTTATTCATCCATACTGAAAAAACTTTACATGCACCAGCTCCTAAAACCTGGAATGGACTCAGAGGAATTAAGCTAGAGGAAGCTTTCATCCTACTTTGTCAAAAAGACTTTGTAGCAGTAGCAAATAAAAATAATAATTAAATAACAGCTCATTTTCTACATATTACAGCTACACAGTATTCTGATCTCCTAACTTCTGTTCCAGCCAGTCAATGTAGTAGATACTTCACCTTAATCTGCAGCTAAGTAAAAACCAAAAAATAAATTAAAAGTGAGAACCCAAGTCTAGTTATACCAGTACAGTACTTGCTGATTTGTCCCACCAGCTGAGGCACCTGACTTTTTTCCAAACAACTCAGAATGCAGCTTGCTACTGCAAGCAACTTGTCAATCTGATCATCAGAGTAATTACACCAGCCGCTTGCTGTAAGAAAACTTAATCAGCTGATTAGCATATTTCTCTGCTTTCAAATGTATTTAAATAAATGGAACTGCTGCTCAGATGTTGTCTAAAAGTAGGTGACGGTTACCTCATCACACTTTGGATTCCCTTTTGCAGTCTCTTCAGCAACTCTTTCTCCAGTCCATACAATTATACTCTCGTCTATTTTACACTGCAGATCTAAATACATATTAACTGGAGGTTTTTTAAATCTCCCTTTGGGAGTTTTCCATGGAGCATTCTGTTTAGATTTCACTAACAGTCTGGATTATGTACATCTGTTACAAAAAAACCAGAACATTTTTCTATATATTTTGAGGGTATTTACATTTCAGAAAGAACGTTGCTTGCACACACATGTATGTATGTATGTATGTATATAAAACACTAATATGGGTGAAAAGCATAGATCTTGCAGGGCAGTTTTTTACCTGCATCTCCTTTTATTACCTAGAGAGAAGATCTGGGCTTTGGCCATAAAATGTTTGATGTCTATGCTCTTTTCCCTTACTTCAGATGGTGTTTTGGACACTACAAAGATGTATTGGCACTTTATGATGGCCAGGGGCCAGGATTCCAACCATCAAGAAACACTTAGATTAACAGTATTAAACTGGTAAGAAATCATATGAGAAAAACATTTTTATTACAAAACTGACAAGTGAATTTAGGGTTATGCTGCATTAATATGTTGATATACTGTAACATTCATTGTCAGTCTGCCTAAAGAATCATTTGGTCCTCTCATTTTGTTAAAACATACACAACAAACAGAACCCACTTCAGAGACGAAATACAAATGAGATGCTTTACAATAGGTAGTGTCCCTCTCAGAAGCAACTGTCCCAATGCAACGATGAAGGATTTTCTTATGTTTAAATAGTACCTGTATTTCTTATTTATACTGGTTTCCTTCCCTGATAAAGGAGTCATGATCCCCAATACTCTGCCAAAACCAATACAGACATATGACAGGAAGTTTGGGTGAAAAAAAAAAAATCCAACAAGAAAAAGTTCTGTACCACATAATCCTGATCGATGTGTAATCATAAGCAGTTGCAAGAGATCCAACATTAACACATTAGAGGAGACTTCCTCCTTCTCACTGTTCTCTGACGATATACACACTAATTGTACTATGACCACAGTTGGGAACCTTCTTGTCTTTGTCTAAATTTCCACTGATAATATATGGTAATAAAAAGAAGAAATCTCATATTACAGAAAAAAAAGTCCAAGCCAGGATTGCTACATTCTTTTGTTCCTCTATAATCTGCCTCTACCATGTTTAGGAGGAAGAAAAAGAACCCACCCAAAACAAACAAAAAATTATTCTCCATTGGATGATAGGTATTAATTCCCATTTATTTAGCAAAGGTTCAAACAAAAGCCATTTAAATAGCAAATCAATTTCAATGTAGCAAAAACTAGGTCATGGGAGTAGAGTTTCAAGAGCTGCACATACAATTCGAACATGTGCAAGTACTTCCTTGCCTCTGAGATGGGATTCCTAGAAACTTGCCAAGCCCACATCCTGCCCTCACTGTAAACACGTCCGTGCACTGTGGACATCGTCAGCATGCTGTGTAGCTTACTGAAAGCTGCTTGCTTCTCTTCATCTTCCCCTGATGCCATCCCAAACAGTTGGCTGCAGGAGAACCTCACAGGGTGAAGGTTTAAACCTATGCTTTTTCTGCTTACAACTGAAACATTTCTTTCAGCTCCCATGATCAAAAGCAGCTCATTACTGGAATCTCTTAAGTCTGAAGAGCAGGCAGAAGACAGCGATGTAAACCAAGCCTCTTGGTTTTCTACCCTTATCTCCCCAAATAATTGCAAGCAGAAAGCAGGAAATGGAGGAAAAAAAAAAATGAATCAATGAAGACAGCATTTAGTGAGATAGAAGAGGTGGGCATCCTCTGGTGATTCACAGGTGCATCAAAGAAAGGATTAGCATCACCAGCAAACTGGCACCTCTCAGCCTTAAAAATTGCTTGTTCCTAATAGCTTCCAGTTTAAATATAACACTTAAACTCAACAATGCTACAAGTATAGCAAGCCAGTAACTTGCTCATAGTGTTTAGTTACATATTACCTGTACTGATCACACATCTGCAGATAAAAAGCTAAGCGTCAGTAGGCCTGAACCAGACAGGTTCTTCATAGCAAAATGCTTCGTCTCCAAGCACTTCTGTTCAAGCATAAAATATGAGTTCGGGAATTTGCCCTCCCTGTACCCCAGTGCCATTTGTACTGTCCGAAGAGCACTGAAACTGAACAGTCACCTTCCCACACTGAACTTCTGTCATTCCTTCTTGTCCAAAATAGCTGAGTTCGTTACCATCCAGAATCACACTAGCTGTGTAAAAGGTGTCGGGCTCAATCTGCACTGGATATTCAAACCACACAGGAAAAGTGTTACTAGAACCATCTGAGAAATATTTACTTAAGTTCTGGCCTAGGATAACTCCTTGTCGTTTGAGTTCAATCTTGGCACTGTACTCTGCTGATCCACAGCTGGAGCCGTACAGCCCAAAGCCAGCAATAAACACTCTCTTATCAACAGCAAACTGGATGCTGTCACACCGGCCCCTGTAGCGCCACTGGTTGCTGCGGTAAGCACAGGATTGGAATCGGTGGCATCGCTGAGGAACGAGGCCTTTCCGGGGTTTGCTCACAAACTGTAATTCTGGCTTTTTGGCAGCTGTGTACCAGAGGAAGATATCATTGGTTTCGTTGAGAGTCAGAATCCCAGACTGAGCAGCACCATTTGCAAAGTCGTCAAGTGCCATGGTAGGGATGCGTATCAAGTACAGAGCCTTCCCAAGGACTTTGCGCTTGTTCTCTATGGTAGCCGTTAGCTCTTGTCGCTGACACTCCACTTCAGCCCAGTTCAGAGCTGCTTCGAAAACAACAATTTCTTTGGCATTCAGAGTCTCCCGTCGGAGAATGCTTTCAAGTGTCTGAAAATCAATGTCACAGAACCCCTCAGACTTCAAAGCTAGCTCAGCTTGGGCATCAATCACTTCCCAACAGCGTTGGGTCAGGTCAGGTTCCTCGAATAAGCAGCTCTGGGAAAGCAGCACACAGGCATTCTTTGCACTTAGACTTGTCTCTAGAAAGTTGACGCAGGCGCGGGCAAGATGAGGGACGATATACTTCTTGGCAGCATAAAGAGTGGCTAGTACGGTATCTGCAGCCAAATCAATTTCATCACAATATATGTATCTGAAATAAAACACATGCATGTAACACTGCAGCTTAATGCAAAAACACAGTTTGTCAACAACATCTGAAAATTATAAACAAAGAATAGGTGAATGGCTCTACATGAAAACGAAGCAGTGCTTTTGGGGAACACTGATTAAATCCAGAAAGAAAGTACAAACCAAATTCATCCCTCGTGTAAGACCATGGAAGAAAACTTAAATCTAAGGTGAATAAAACTTCACATTTGGGGTACGTGCTACATTGACAATGGTTACGTTTACAAACTATGGCCCCTCCTGCTCTGTCTTCCTTCCATACATGCTTTGGCTAATGAGACGCTATCTGGCCAGGCAGCAGCAACTCAAGGGCTACCTTACTCGGCTAACACAACAGTCTGGAACATGTGCCTGGGCTGGATACCTCATGACGGCAGATGAGGGATTTATTGAGGTGTATATATAAACACAGGAATGAAAACAAGTTTACTGAGAATAGCTAGCTACTCTAAGAAAAGAAATACTATCAAAGTGTATCAGGTGCTACCCATCTTCATAACCACTACAGGGTTTTTTGAGGGGGAGAGAGATTGGGCTTTTTTGGGTTTGTTTTTTTTTTTTTAACAAGGTGATGAAACACACAGGAAAGGCACAGAATTCTAATTTTTAGGTTTATTAATGCTTACAGCACCCTAGCTCCACCACCACAGTGTTTCCTCTCAGTCTCATTGCATAAGGAAGAAAAAAAGCTTTACTGCTATTCTAGCGTGGTAGAAGAGATGAAGGTGAAATTCTATTTATGTGACTAAACTGCTGGGATTCATTGTTCAGAGAAATGAAGCATTGTACAGTTTGTTCTTTTTAATATCTCATGCTTCAGGGCCCCATTTGCAGCTGGTGAATGCAATGTGCTAAAACCATGCCAAATGCAATTTTACTCTTCATAGGGATAAGCAAGTCTTGATGGTTATGGCTGATAAAAGTGTCTTCTTCCAGTAAAGCTGAAGTTGTATGCAACCCTGCACTAATTAAAATTTTCTAGTTAGAAGGTTTCCCCAACGCAATGAATTTTTTGCAGAACAGATGTGCTTATAAAGTGGAATCAGTACCTACACCGATCTGATTATAGTCGTAAATATCTTTATTTGTATTTTTGCAGGTGTAGTGCACTATCTTCCAAGCCACCCTTAGGAAACATGCTCAGAACAGATACTGCTCAAGCAATATAATAAAATCTAAGAGGTTACAGAGACAAAGAATACTTACATAGACCCAAACTTTTTTTTTTTTTTAAAACCTTTATTACTTGGTTTCAGCTGGACTATTTGTAACAACAAAGAGCACATCTGTATATCACTGGTTACAGCCTTAGCTCCTTTACTGTCCAAAAAATTTTCAGTGTATCAATTCATTTCATTAATTTTTATGATTCTGCTCATTGCTCTCCAACTCTTTTCTCCCTTCTATCACTTCTCTTTGCCTGCTAGTACAGCAGAGAATGATGACATCTGTTTTAAATTGAAATAGTACAAAAGTTGCAAGTTTAATATTTATGAAAGTGAAGAACTAATATCACTGATTTACAACAGACACGGCACAGATCAGCTGTCAGCAATATTCCACACTTCTCACTCTGCCAATGCACCTCGACTCTGGGCTACAATTACTGATATTCCAGTTTCACCCTGTTCTTAAACAGAGGATTCTGCTAGAACATAGGGTTTGATGGCTTCGTAAAACATTCATCCAGGGATAAGATGAGACCATGGTTCTAACTTGAACAGTCAAGATTAAAATAAGATATAATACATTAAAAACACCAATTCAGTGTGTCAGCTAGACTATGAATTCAACTCAATTTTTAAAACCGTGGAGAACAGCCAAACCAATTTTATTGGGAGAACAATTGGTATCTACCAGTCGAGGTATTATTTCCTATGTTACATCTGGCAATACCTTGTCTGATGTTTGTTGTCAGAATGCCCACTATATGTATTGAAAGAAAAAAAAATATTTATGCTGTAAGAATTCACTGCTGATGGGGAAAAGAGGCCGAACAAAACAAAACCAATAAAAAACCCCACAAAACCAAACTCAACGTATTTTCTGACAAAGATGCATTCCTCCTGACTGTGGAAAGGAGCGTATGAAGGAGAGGGCTGCTTTGGGATAGGTGAAAAGTCTTTTCCTTCTGTAGCAACAGTGTAACAAGCCTTTGCCATCCACTGCTCACAGGAGTTGCAAGCAACATTCACGGGGATGATTTCTCCCGGGAGAGGGGCCCGTGGCTCCCCCTAAGCTCCACCCAGTGCAGCACATGCATTGGATCCTGCAACGAGGGGAATGCTGCACTGCTGAGCAACATCCCTTCCCCTTCCCTGCACTGCCATGCTGCAGACACCCCTGGCGTTTGCAGACACAGGAGCACTCTGCAGGTTCAGGCACACTGCAATAGCAGAAGTTAGCACTGGCAAGGTTAGCTCAACATCACACAGATTACGAACTTTTTGTGGTCTTTTGTTTTTTTTTAAATAAAAGCTGAGAAGGTGAAGAATTTCATGGTTCTGGCCCTGCTCTCAAAGACAGTTTCCTAAATTGCCATAGGCTAAATAATATGCTAAGACCTACATGTCAGTATTGACACCCTTTTCTAGGTTTGCTCTCTGAACACGTTTCTTAATGATAAATTCAGAAAGCATTCAGGTTTTATACAGCAAAACATGTTTAGCCACAGTGAAATAGATTTGCTGTTCAAAAAGGAAGGGGGACTGGGGGAATAAAGGTATCTCGTATTTGTGCCTTGCAAAATTCTTCATGAAAGTAAAGCACAAGTCTGAGCTCTGCAGAAAGCACTCGCAAAACCAGAAAGGCCCAAAGCAGGGATCCATAACGTACCTACTTACATAATGTCAAATCTTAACTTTATATTCCAGGTCTACAGAACATCTGTGTGACTTCAGCTTTTCCTGGCAGTTACTGGTATTTGCACAGAACATTTCTGATGTTCATGATAGCCCATAAAAACTATGCAACAAACTCTATATGCAACTTTGAATGTTCATCTACAGTGCCACTGAAATGTAAAAGAAAAAAGAAACCACTCTGATCACAAGCTAGCCAAAACAATTTATGAAATACAATAAATTACTAGCTAGTGATTACATCACTACACACAAGCAAATCTGGGGCATATTAAAAGGAGCACTATCAGATACTAATGTATATTCCTTATCAGAAAGCAATGGCAGTTACTAAAGCTGAAGGGAAAAAACACTCAAAGCCATAGCATTTCTGTAGTAGGGCATTTCTCTTTAATAATCAGAGTTTACAGATACATTCAAGGACAATTCAGCAGGGAAACTGCTTCATTATGCTCATTTAGGAAAAGATAGCATTTCTTATGCAGTTCGCAAGAAGAAAAATAATCATTATGTAAACTGACTGTTTTCCCCCCGTTAGAATAAAAACCCCTATTCATGTGAACAGCCTTTTTATCACTTTCCAAATGCATCAGTATGATAGATGAGGAGAAATTTAATTTTCAGAGGCTATATTCAATAACTTAGGGTTGTTTTTCTAAGACAAGACCTGCATGCATACAGCAAGTTCATAAATGAGCTAGAATGATGTCAATATACAAACCAAGCAATTCAGGGGTTTTGGGTGTGTGTGTGTGTGGTGTGTTTTTAACTTTTCACTATGCTTGCCAAGTAGAACAGGGTTTTTTTGTTACAGCTGACAATTCTTTTTAGTAACTCCATTCCTTTGTGCAACGTGTAGTGACAAATCAGATCAATAGGCATTACAGTATACAATGTGCCCAAAGATCCCCTGTCAAAGTCATTATTTATAACTGCCTACATTAGTCTAATATATGTGTGCCTGGAAGTAAAGGGGAAGAGCAAAACGAGGTGAAGTTTAAAACACTTGAAACACAAAAAGAGGAGTATTTTAGGCAACTGCTTTCTTTCTGTTTATATGCAAGTCTAATACTTTAACTATGGCATTACCAGTGTATGTATACATCGTAAGGAAAACATATCCAGCAGATGAATGATGCTTACTTCAGCATTGCGAGAAAAGCAGCAGGCTCAACATCTGGTATACGGATTTCATCTTTGTCCTCAGCAAGCTCTCCGTAAAACATTGCATGGAATACAGAGCTCCCAACAGCCAGGACATACTGTTGAGAAAGGGAAATCTTATTTCATGCTTTAAACTGAAAGCACTGCCAACAAAAACAATGTGGGAGAGCCACTCTGAGCATACTGGGCTTCGCTGACAGACTCTATAGAAACACTTCAGTAAGAAATGAAGTCAAAGTTAAGAACAGAATTACACATTTTCCCTGCATTTTGCTCTCATGGGCATATATACATAAGCTACTGGAAAACGCTCATATGCACTACAGAAGTTAACTATTTCTAGAAAATCTCAAGAGTAATATTAATCAGCAGCACAAAGCAGTATTCCTAACTTTACAATGACTGCCTTAGCACAAGTGTACTGTTTAACCGAAAACACAAAGAAAAGCAAGGGACAGACTATTCCACTGCTTGTAGCCTTTTAAAATACAGAATTATGCCTGTCCCAGAAGAGCTGAGTCTCCCACGCTATGTCCTGGCGTAACCGTGGGAGCTCTCTCTGGCTATCCCCGCCTGAGCTGATAATGCAGCTGTTGCTTACTTTGTGTCCTGGCAGCCGCTGGGTCCCACCTGGTGGCCCGACCACAAAATGAACATCTGCCATCAAGTCATTGTTGAACATCACCGCATTTCTACAAAGAGAGGCAGCGTGTTAATTTATGGTGCCCAGTAACACGGTGCTTGCCCCAGGCCCAAGAAATTTAATTTCTTAACAACTTAAAGTTGCATGTTAGTAAACAGAAGCAGGTCACGCTTTGTTTTAAGCTACTTTACACATCATCACGCAAATATACCAGAGAAAAAAGTAAAGCGGGGGGGGGGGGTAGGGGGACAC